AGGCGGTTCTCCAGGGAGCCACCCTTCATCAGCTGGTACACGAGGCAGGGCTTCTCCCCGTTGATGCTGTAGCCGTAGAGGGCCAAAATGTTGTCGTGCCGGATGGTGTTCAGATACTTGAGCTCGTTGTAGCTCTGCTGCAGCTCCACCTGGTTCTTGTCGATGTTCGGACTGCGGTAGTTCATCACCTTGATGGCCACGTCCAGTTGTTTCCACTCGCCACGGTACACCTCGCCGAATCCGCCCTGCCCAAGACGATTATCGGCACAGAACCCGTCCGTGGCGTTCTCCAGCTCCGTGTAGTCGATCTTCAGCAGGGACTCGGCGGCCCGTTGAACCGTGCTGATGTGGATGTTGCCCAGCGACTCCAGGCTGGGAATCTCCTCCGTCGTGGTGCTGGTGGTGCTGGTGCGATTGTTGTTCGAATTGCTGACGCCCGAGGAGGAGGGAAACGGTGGACCATTGTTCACCTTGGCGCTGGAATCGGGCGGAGCTCGCAGATCGCTGATGGTAGGCACGCTCCTGGGAATGTACTTGTGCAGATCCTCGCTCACATAGTCTTTAATTAGCCGCATGGCGTTGTGGAGCTTCAATCTGGAACGGGAAACAGAGTCATTCTTGGGGTCACTCGGCTTCTTATCTCTAACTGACTCACTTTTTAAACAAAGCAAACAATGTTTGGACCGTGTGATTGTACTGGCCCCCCCAAATGTTGAGGAACTCATTGGATGCTGAGCGACCCCGCTGCTTCTGGCTGCTGATCTGCTCCACCTGGTCCGGATAAAGTTTTACGGCCGTCGCCAACTGCTGCCACACATCCAGGGCGTCCAGGTGGGCACACAGTTGGAGGCGCACTGGCAGCGGCATCAGCCGGATGGCCATGGTGTTGTCCAAGTGGGATCGCGACCTGGTCCTGTTTCCATTCGCCTGGTTTTGGGCCTGAGCCTCGGCTTCTGCGGTCTCGGCGCCACTCATCTTTCACTGGTGGGCGGTTGAATTGGTCGTGGCTGATTCATGCGGTCTGGGCTGCGTCTTTGGATGCAGGCGAACCCGGGGGAAAGCGGCGTTGTGAACCTGTTGCAGTGAAACGAAAATTTGATTGGGGTAAATTCCCAACTAGATTCGAACAAACAGGCCATTAACAGTGCGGTTAACAGGGGGTCAACAGCTGATTAGCAGTCGCTTAACTTTGTGCGACCATCTGGCAACCCAATAATCTGGCGTTGCCAGAACGTTTTTATGGGAACTAAAAAAAAAAAATAAGAAACGTGATAAATAAAAATGAAGTTTTTCAGTTTTTCGTTTTCACGCGCAAAATAATTTTATTAAAAAAAGATTATAGTAAATACGTTTTTAAAGCACTTTTACTGTTGTCAAAAAACCATTAAAGTCAATTAATTAAACCAAACCCTTATTTTAAATCGATGCTCTGACAGCTCTATTGTTAGTGTGGTATATTCTCGCGATTTCAAATCTGGCCACACTGCTCCATCTTACATCGTCACGGACGCAGCACTATCGCTAATTCGTAGCCCATTTATAATTTAGCAAAGACGTCAATTACCGAGCCAGCGAACAGAAAAGCCTCAAGCTGGCGGAGAAAAAGGTTCAGATGGCGCTTTGCCAGACATCGGTGGTGAGTGTGAATCCTGGATCTGCTGAAATCTCGGATCTGTGTAATCGCGGCGGATGAAATGCATCCGACATATGGAAGACTGTGCTGCCAGGAGCAAAAGTGCCCACTCCTCCTCCTCCTTTCGCCCACCTCCTACGCGGGAAAGTGAAAGTTTTCTTTGTGGGCATGGCAGAAATACTATACCACTAATATTACCCAAATACGAGAAACCGAAACTGCAACCTCGTCTGCCCGTCTGTCTGTTTGTCTGTCTGTGTGCTTCAGTGCGTGCTTCTGTGTGTCTGCCTGTTTTTAAGTGTATTAGTGCGTTCATTGCCTTGCATTTTGTATTTTGTGTTTTTTGGGACACGGAGAAGTAGTTCAAACTCCCTTGGGGGTTTATCATTAGCGGTGATGTATTTAATGCGTAGCGTGTGCCATTATCAGCATTTAGGAGCCCCTTATCACACCCTGATAAAGCAAAAATACATACTATTGCTGTAGTAGCGTCGCATTCCGCGGTACCGGTACATCATCTTATATACATACCATCATATGTGTACCTTATACATCTACATACATACATGTTTATACTTATACTCAATTATTTTCTGGAAACAAACATTTTACATATGTACCATATTTGCATTTTGCATATATTACAGCTGCGGCTGATGTATTAATAGGGGTTAAAAAAACACGTCCACTCAGATAGACATTTTATACCTATGAATGTATATAAGGGCTAGATGATAACAAAATTTATTTATTTTTTAACATGTTTACTAGTCGTTAGTGACTTAAGCTTTTTAATAAAACTCAGCTGTTTTACAGAAAACAGTTGATATTGTTACTCATACGACTGTATGTTCATTAATTGCAGGGAGCAGTGATAATATAATGAGCGTTTAAATCAACACAAACACAGATATTTTCCCTCTGATTGTTCGTGCATTTCGAATTTAATTATACAAATTAAGCATTAACCAGCACACCCATTTCCCCCCCGCAGCTGAAGGTGTACCATGCCGTGATCGAGGACGTCATCACAAATGTGCGGGATGCTTTCCTCGATGAGGGCGTCGACGAACAGGTGTTGCAGGAGATGAAGCAGATCTGGCGCAACAAGTTGCTGGCCAGCAAGGCCGTCGAGCTGAGCCCGGATCCCAGCGACGGCTCCCACCCACCGCCCATCGTGGCCAACAATCCAAAGGTAAAATACAGCCCATGATCCTTTTGGTGGATAAATTCATCCCGCATTCTTGTGCCATTTGTATGTAATAGGTATCATTATCAACTTTTTATCGTTTCACTAATTATTTTACAAATTCACTTTTTATACAAGTGTTTTTACTATTTAATCTCATTCATATTCGTGCAAATAATTATTATGAAACAATGGTAGTATGTTCCAGAAAACTTAAAGACAATTTTATAAAAAATTTGTTTTAAAAGCACATCGTATAGGTCCCAAATGTTCCTATATTACCATGTTACTACTTAAAACATTTCGACTAAGATCTCTTGCTTTATCTTCCTTATGTTCAACAACTTGAACCACAACAACGCTACTGCGCCTCACCAACAACATCGACTAATGCGCCGCTTTACACATCATCAAAATTCATTAAAATATCCACTAATTTCCATCCGCCTTCCCACCCACACGCATACATCGACTGCAGAGCACCAAGGTAAAGCCATCTGTTCGCGAAAGACATTCCGAATTAGACCCATTAATCGCCTATTTCTTTGCAGGCAGCCAATGCTAAGGCCAAAAAGGCCGCCGCCGCCTCTGCGGCCACATCACAGCCTCTGATCGGCGGCAGCAGCTCATCGGTGGTAGCGATTAAGTCGCCCGCTGGCATGGCCACTGGCAGCGGGATCAAGAACGGACTGGTGCCCATTAAGCAGGAAGTTAACTCACAGAACCCGCCGCCACTGCATCCCACTTCGGGGGCAGCGCTGCTGCAGAAACAACAGCAAGCGGCGAGCGGTGGACAGGCTCCCATTCCAATTGTGGCCACACTAGATCCCAACCGCATCATGCCCGTTAACGTGAGTTAAATCAGTGATATAAAACGTAAACCCAATCTAAATTGATCACCGGATTTTGCAGATCACGCTGCCATCGCCAGCCGGCTCTGCCAGTTCGGAATCTCGAGTGCTCACCATTCAAGTGCCTGCGTCGGCGCTGCAGGAGAATCAGCTGACCCAAATACTGACGGCTCACCTGATTTCGTCCATCATGTCCTTGCCCACCACACTGGCCTCGTCCGTGCTGCAGCAGCACGTGAATGCGGCTCTGAGCAGCGCCAATCACCAGAGTAATTATAATTATTTCCCTATCAGACTCTTGAATAATTCTTGCCTTTTGTAAATATTAGAAAATCTAGCGGCTGCCAAGCAATTGGACGGAGCCCTGGACTCCTCCGATGAGGACGAATCCGAGGAGAGCGACGACAACATCGACAATGATGATGACGATGATCTGGACAAAGACGACGATGAGGATGTGGAGCACGAAGATGCCGCCGAGGAGGAGCCCCTCAACAGCGAAGACGATGTCACCGACGAAGACTCCGCCGAAATGTTCGATACGGACAACGTGATCGTCTGTCAGTATGATAAGGTAAGCCATAAGAAACGCATTCTTTGTTTGGAGATGATTATATTAGACCTTGTCCCCAGATCACCAGGTCACGGAACAAATGGAAATTCTATCTCAAAGATGGCATAATGAACATGCGTGGCAAGGACTACGTGTTCCAAAAATCAAATGGAGACGCCGAGTGGTAATGTCTGCTTACAAAAGAGCGCGGCGGCAGTGTGAATATAATATATATAAACAAAAGACATCAAACAAAGAGCCTCATCGAATGCGCCTTCAGTCCTGGACATTAGGTAACCAGACAGGAAAACATGACCAAGCGACAGCACAGTACTCGGGCCGACAATGTATCTTATTTTAGTTTCATCTGTTTTGTATACGCTAGCTAAAAAGCGAGTTGTGTTGCAATTAACCATCTCAATTAAATGTACTAAGTAGAACGCCGCATAAATGTTGTGTCAATAAAATGAAACTCTTGTGAATGTTATCATCGTTTAGGAGAATATCAGAAGCAGCTGTTTTTAATAAAAACAAAACAGGTTCGACATTTTAAATGAAAGAAATTTGCAAGTTATAAAAAACTTCCATCTAGTAAAGGAAATTAACATTCTAGCAGACAGTAACGAAAATCAATCCATGACGAATACTAGTAAATTCTCAAAAAGGACCTTTTTTTCTCTAGAATAAACATAATTTTGGGTGCCCAATATTGACAAAGTTAATGTATATCCAATAATCGTCATCTTTTTACAATTAACAAACAGTTGGCCATCATTGAAAGTATGTATGTATTTATTTATAGACATGTACACGCTATTACGCTACATGCGCACTTCGATCTTGCAGTTAAGGAGTACAGCATTTTACATTTCAACACTTACAACAACAGCGCGGCTAATTGTTAAGGGTCGCATCCTATGTACAACTCTCATTGTACACTCACTGTGTGGTCATCTATCGTCGATCTATGTACATACATACATGCACTTATCCGGTCGGGCACATCCTTGTTGCCTTATCTCCTAAACAATCTAAGTAATGACTAAAGATGCGTGGGGGTCTGGCTTACGATCGTAAAACTAATGAAGATGTCGCAGGTTGTCTGCGTGTGCGTGTGTGACTGTGATTGTGTGGGTGTTTTGTTGTGTTTCGTGTGTGGATTGTGGTTTGTTGATTGTTGTTCTCTAGTTTATTATAATTCAATCGAAAGTGAGATGGGCCTGGTTATCGTTCACAATTTATACAAGGTCTCCTCTCTCAGAGCGCTATATCGCTATTCATTATAGACAATCGAAATATGGGTAAAAGTAAGTTTAAAACAATTTATAATATAGCACAACTCTCGCTCCTAGGTTAGCCCTATTTGGTTTTGCCCGCAAACAAACTCGTGCTAAGCACCAAGCCGAAGAATTGTCCTCCGGGTGTCATTGCAGGACAAGCCTTGCGCGTACACAATGATATAACTGCCTAATTAAACATTAAGTCGTCAGTAGCGCGATGTTGATTTCCTTGACCATCTTGACGCGGTGCAGCATCCGCTGCAGTGCATCCTGACCCAGGGCCTGCGTCGAATACCAAACGGGGGAGTCGGGCACACAGGAGCGTTCAGGCTGCAGATAAAACACATCGTTGCGGGTCTTCACGCTCTCGGGACTGCCGAAATAAAACAAATACTATTAGCACTTGCTGATAGTTGCATCATGTGGCAAAGTACTGACCATTTAGAGAGATAAAATTCGTAAAGGCGGACGGGACAACGCAGCGGGTTCTCCTCGTTCTCCTGCTGCTCGTAGACCTTCTTCTTCCGTGGATTTGCATCTGTTTAAATACATTTAAATACAAATAAGTTTTCCACTCTTTAATTACTAAAAGACTTTAGTTTCGACTTACCCAGACCCGCCTGCGGTGGATAGAATCGTAAGAGCACGTTTCGTGAGCCAGGAACTTTGGAATTCTGTGATGAGCGCTTCCAGTGCTTCATTATATGGGAGAAGGATAGCTGCATGTGCTCCTCCACAGTCTAGAAGACATAAACATTACCCGATGTCAACTGAAAGTGTCTTTAGATATTTCTTACCGTCAGATTAAAGTGTTTTGTGTTGAAAAACATGAGCGTGCTGAGCAGGACATGCGGGGAATGGGCGCCTAGTTGCTTGCACTCCCACAAATGCTCCTCCTCCACGCGAGTGACAATGTATTCTGAATAGGGAAAGAACGTTATTAAATTGGTAAACTAACCAAACTCCTATCCGTTCTACTTACGCGAATCGTTGTAAAGCACGGAGAATTTGCGCGCCACCTCATCCAGGCACTCCGTAAACCGCTCATAATATGGATCATAAAATATGTTGTCTATGCGTCCATTCACATACAGATATTGCTGGATGCCTGCACAAAGAAATGCAAAACTTCAATAAGGCATATGTTTTGAGGTAAACCATAAAGGTACTGACCCAGTACAAGGTAGTAGATGGTGTCCGGCGCATATTCCGTGCCGTTGGGCTTGCGCACCTCCTTGACGAAGAGGCAAAGGGAGTAGTTCAGCTCGTCGGCGGTCATCTGAAGCAGCTCCGTCTTGAAGGGTCGCCGGCGCATCGAGCTCTTCTCTATGTCCGCATTCTTGGTCATCACCCACTGCTTCCACGCGTTCACGCCGAAGGTGTACTTCAGGAACATCTGGGCGTCGGGCTTCTCCTGCGGCTGCTGTGCCTGCTGCGACTGTTGCTGCAGGGCGGAGTGGTCCATTTCGCTGCCCCGCTGCCTCTTCACCGGCGAACGGCTATTGCGGTTGGGCGAATCCATGACGGCACCGACGCCTCGCTTGCGTCCGCGTGGGGTTCTACAAGTAATAGAATTCAAACACATAAGTATTGAACTAGGTTGGCATTATTCTGATCTCACCGCTGCGTGGCATCGAGCATGTGATGCTGCTGGTCCAGGTGATGCACTCCCATCTGACCCATGCCGTCGTGGGACATCGGCGATTGGCTGCTAATCGTGTTGGCCGTCATCGACGTCTCCAGATCCACGGTCGAGGTCTGGTGATGGTTGTCGTAATCACCCGTGGCCATTTTGAGGGCGATCTGTAGCATATCGTCGCCGTAGGGATTGTGTCCGCCACCACTGACATCCACTACCTGCTGTTGCTGCTGCTGCTGCTGGGCCACGGACTCCAAGCTGTTCTGATACTGCAGCGTGACCAGACCAGGATCCGGCTTGATCTCGTTGTCCGAATCGGAGTCCGACTCGTGCTTCTCCTCGGCCACCATTTCGGCCATCATTAGCAGCTCCGCCTCCAGCGGATCTTCCGGCATCTTGTCCTGAATCTTCTTGATCTCCTTGAGAATGCCTTGCGAGGTGTTGCGCGTGGTGGGTATGAAAATGGGCACGGGGATTGGAAGCGGAATGGGCACGGGTACGGGGAACGGCATTGAGTACATGTACATGGGTTGCGGCAAAAAGATCGGCACCGGCACCGGGATGAGCACCTTGTTGGAGTAGTCCTTCTCCGTCTGGGTGGCACAATCGCGCACGTCCGGGGTGCACTGCTCGCCCGTGGACACAGTCATGGGCTTGCAGCTGATGTTTACGTTCCGCACGGCCTTGGGATATGGTGGCACTGTGATGATCTTGGTTTCCGACACCGTAGGCGGTCCGAAGTCCATGGTAGTGGTGGTATTTCGCCTGCCCCCGATCCCCCCGTGGAGGCTGGTCGGCGTGTTGGGCGACGGCGACCGTACCGTGTAGTCCACATGCTTACGGGGTCTTCCGCGAGGCGCTGGCGCATGAGCCACCGGCATGGAAAGCGGTGGCGGTGATGCTCCCGATTCCCGGGGACGACCACGCTTACGTCTCACCGTCACATTGCCAATCCGGGCCTCGGTTTCGCCGCTGGCCAGTGACTGAACAGTGGATATAACCGGTAGCATAGTGCCAGTCCCGGATTTCTTGGCTCCAGCACCAGCATTCTTTCCAACCTGCAAGTGAAAGGAGTTTAAGTTAATTTAGAATTAATTAAAATTAATGAATTAAAGTAAATAATGACCCACAATGCTTTTGCTTCTAGTCAACATTAATCCTTAAGGAGAATAGATAGTGAAGTCTTCTTCAAGAGGAAACTCTACCGAAAGTTGAAGTATTTCTTTTATAAATCGACAATTTATACTTCGTATTGCAACACTAATAAATACCAAAACATTCTGAATACAAACATCAAAAATCTTTAAAAAACAATACAGTCCCATCCTATAATTGCCCTTTGACCCACCTGTTGATGGGATAACTTCAGCTTCACCCGCTTGGGCAGACCCGTGGGGAAGGGTGCCGCATTTTTACTTCCGCGAGAGGAGTTGCCCTGCTGCTGGGACTTTGAGCTGCTGCTGGCGGCGCCACTGCCGCTGGGGGGCAGGTCGCTGTCCAGGGTGAGGGGGGCGCGGGCGAACTGGTTCTGGAACTGCATCACGCACTGGTAGGTGCAGAAGTTGCGCATGGAGGCGTCCGACATGGTCAGGTGGTACTGCGGCGTATTGAAGTTGGCACAGTTGTCGCACTTGGTCACCGCGCGGGCGGAGATGTTGCAGCTGACGCCGTGCATGGTCAGACAATTGATGGAGCAGGTGAGCGTCTCCTGGTCCTGCTGCCCGCCCACCTGGTATATCATGTCAAAGTTGTACTTTTTCACCTTGCACCATTGGCAGGACACGATGTGCCGGTTGACAATGATGTAGACGTTGATGCAGACTCGCGAGCAGAAGACCTTGGGCGACTGTTGTTCGTTGTAGATGGTGTACGACTCGGCGCTCCGCCGCTCAAAGTATTTGGAGCACATGGCACACGGATCGGCGTTCACATTGCTCACAAACTTGAAGGCCGAGAAGCAGGGATTTGAGCAGAAGTAGTGCTCTCTGTCCTCCAACAGCATCTCCACCCGCACTGGCTTCTCGTTGTTGCACACACCGCACACATCGGTGCGCAGTTTTCGGCGCGGATTGCACATGCCGTCGTAGCGGCGCAGGCAGGCCTGCGAGCAGAAGTCCTTGAACTGGTCCTTGTCGCCCACCGGGGCCAGGAAGCCCTCCTGTCCGCCACTGATGTCCTTCTGGCAGCAGGAGCACGTCTTCAGGCCCTTCTTGAAGGTGTTCAGGCATCCGGCGCAGCAGAACTGCCGCACATCGAAGCCAAACCGCACGCAATACTTGCCCAGGGCCGTGGAGCTCACCTCCTGCTTGCAGGTCTCGCAGCTGGAGCCGATCGTGCGCTGATAGCTGCCCAGGCACACCTCATTGCAAAAGTCCATGGTCTCCCACATGAGCTGCTTCTCGTTGGCATTGATCTCCGCCTCGCAGTCGGCGCAGCGCCTCCTGAAGCTCTCGATCCTGTCCAGGCGCGCCGTCTCCGCCTCGGCCAGTGTCCTGGCCACCACGCTGCTCTCGGTCCGCTTGCTGGGCGAGTTTTGCGGCGGCTGCAGCGTTGTGGCGCCAATGTTGCGCACACGGATCGAGTGGCGCTTCAGCTTGAACTTGTCCGGTTCCTCTGCGTTGAGCAGATTGAAACAGTCGTCGTTGCAGATGTAGAAGACGTCCTGATCCTGCTTGATGAAGTACTTGCACCGCGTCTGCTCCTTGCACTGCAGGCAATCATTCGTGTTGGCGGGAGTGGCATCCTCCTCAGCTCCTTCCTCTGCCTCCTCAGCGGCGCCCTCTTCTCGGACCACCTCCTCTACCAGAAACTTCTTGCGTCGCACAAAGTACTTGCCGGGCTGATCGGCCAGCAGAGCATTCACACAGGCGGTGTCGCAGATGTACTCAAACCCGGTTGGAGCAGGCTCTTTTGGTGCTTCCTCCTCTGCATTTTCCTCCTCCGTGTCCGTGTCCTTGTCCTTTTCTTTGTCTTTGTTTTTGTCCTCTGCCTCTTCGGCTCGCTTGAACCGGAATCCACAATTCTTTTCGTTGCCGCACTGCTTGCACTTCTGCGCGCTGCCAACGATCCAACTGATGATGGTTTTCGGCGTGGCCCCCAGCTCACCCGCTGTGGCGCTGTAGGATTCCTCAGCCGTGGGCTCGTCTGCATCTGCATCTGCATCCGGAGCATCGCCGGCGGCCTCCTCTTCGTTGGCCGCGGCATCGGTTCCGTCGTCTGCGAGGGAGAGTGAATTTTTGTTAGTTTTCTTCAATGTAATGCAACAAACCTGCTCTACAATCAACAGGTGGTTAATACAATTGCTTAAACAAATTTTTCTGAATTTATAGCCAAAAATCTGTATAATTTTAAGATTTTTTAACTTCCAAAATGTGATTTAAGCTATTTAATAAACCTAATATATTTAAATAGCGGTTGTCAAGAAAAATAATTGAATTTTAACCAAAACTTGTGCGCCTTTATTGGAAAAACACATGCTTAGAGCAAATAAAATCACTACAGAACAAAACTTGTTAAAAAAATGGCTTCAAAATGCAGCTGAATTCAATTCAAAGCAGTAAGAAAGAAATATGGTACCGTTCTTAAATAAAATTTTTAACCAAGCGTTTCAATAAATGTTCATAATACAGACAAATCAAATGGTTAGTAACATTTCGCCCAGCTATAAACCCAATCTGCTCACCTTCGGCAATTTCTAATGCCGCCGCCTTAGCTCCAGCTTGAGCATCTGCAGGCAAAATGGATAGAGTAGATGTGGGATGGGACATTTGGGTGTTAATCTGGAGACATACCATTTGGAGCAGACGGAGACTCGTCGGTTGGGTCCACCACAGTAGCGCTATCGTCTTCCGGATCAACGGGGGCATCTGTTTGGGACTTCCCATCGTTATCGGGTGACTTCGAATGCCGCTCTCCGGCCTCCTCCTCTTCAGCGGCCTTCTCGGCGTTCTCGCGGGCCAGTTCCTTCTCGGCTTCGGTCACCTCGGTCTCCTGATCGTCGGGAATGAGGCAAACGTCTGACTCCTCTGGCTCCAGCACATTTTCAACAGTGTCTGTAATTTCGAAAAGTTTCCAAAAATATTATTTAGATAATCAAAGAACATAAAGATTTATAAATGCTTACCATCGCCATGTTCGGCTTCTCCAGCTTCCTCTGGTGCTTCTTCCACCTGTTCCGACTCCGCATCGGCATCCAGATTGTCATCTTCATCGCCGGCCGTCTCCTTCTCCGTGTCTTCTAGATCTTGGCCCGTGTCCTGCTCCTCTAGACTAGTGTCCACCTCGTCACGACCCTCTGGCGGCTCTGCATCCTCGCCCAGGTGCGAGTCTCCACCTACGGAATGCATTTCCACATCATCCGCCGCCTCAGCTTCTGGATCGGCTTCAGGATCAGCTTCGGGATCAGCTTCTCCTTCTGCATCCGCCTCGCCCTCCCCATCATCCACATCCATGGCCTCAGGTGAGGCGGGGCCACCATCCACTGCATCTGCATTGGCAGCGGCCGCCTCCTCCTCCTCCGCGGTGGCTTGCAGGGCATCAGTCTCCTCCTCCTCCGCCTCCTCCTGGTCTTCCTGTGGATCTACACTAACCGCTTCTGTTTGTGGCTGCTCATCATCGGCGGCGAGAGGCTCCTCAGAGGGCTGTGGCTCCTCGGCGGGCAGCGGCTCCTCGGCGGGCTCCTCCTCTGCCTCCACGGGATCTTCCTGCGGACTGGCCGCCTTATCCTGCGACTGGTGGTCATCGGCTTCTAGGGAGCCCTCCGAGATCTGCTCGAACTCTTCCTCCGGCTCCTTGGCCGCGTCCCCTGGAGGGGGTTCGCTTTCCTGGGCCACTGCATCCTCTGCTGGCGGGGAAGCGGGTGTGTCCAGAGTCTCAGGCGCCGCTGGCGCCTGCTCGTGATCCTCCGGCCGGGGGGTGGCCGACTCCGGACGCGCATTGGAATCGGCGCCGAACGAATCTAAACTGGATATCTCCTCCATTTGTGTTGATTGTTAACCGATGCTAGCGTTGTGCGCTTGTTTATATAGACATGAACTGCAGAAAACAAACAACAAATGGTTAGTAGCGAATTCGCCAACTATCGATAGCTATCGCTGCGGGCGGACTATCGGCTGGCCAGGGCCTCACACCATTGCCGCCTAAAATGTGTACACACACACGCACAGGCTCACCGACGCACACAAACACAGGGGCCCACGGTACAGTGCACGAAAAAACAAAACATGCGCCTCCCGAAAAAAAAAAGGGAGAAAAAATCGGAGGAGACTGTGTCTGTATGCGCCGATTACAAAGCAATTAATATTACTGCACTTGCATTATCTTCCTGGCCGCGATGCACTGCGTTGGCGCCTCTTTTTCGTATTGATATTTGGAGATTTCGGACACCCAAACGATGCACGAGTGTGGTAAGGAAAGCGCGTCTGTTGCCGCAATTAACTGCCTTTCATCGCTGCACGCTTGCACGCATCATTAACGTTCGCTCACGGTTCGCGCAAAACTTGAGTAAAAAGATAAAAACACCTTTTTGCACTGTGCAATTTTCTAGTTTTCTGGCCACTGTGTAATTTTTCGGCTTTATGCGAGTAAAATGGCGCACCAGTGTACCAAATGCGGCCCTCGCATAACGATAACGCGTTGGCCTCGCCAGTCGGTATATACCGCAAAATACCGCAAATTTTAGTCCTAAATAATACCACAATCGAAAATTAGATGGGTTGGCAGCGCCGGCCGTTTAATTTTGAAAAATATGTGTACATAAGTTGTTATCTGTTTATAAGCTATGTAATTAATGTCAGGTCTCTCATCTTCCTAAAACTTGCTAATATTCCCTTCGGAATCCAAAAGAACGTCGGGAAAGTATTTGAAGATCTTGGTAAGGTGCGGGAAATTTTTGGTGTTTGCGAAAGTAATATCGTTCGTCTGCTGATACTGCTTCACGATGGTTACTAGATCCTCCAGCGGCACCAGCTCCTCCACCAGCCAGTGCTGGATCACATAATTCAGGGCGTAGACCTGCAGTCTCATTAAACTGGGCTCCTGGGTAAGGTTTCCGGCATGCTCCATGATTTTCTGTAGGAGATTAGCTAGTTAAATAGGTGTCTTTAGTGGTTGCTTAACCACCTCCATGCAAACCCGCTCCAGATCGATGATGTTGTGCCGGAATGTCAGGTCCAAAGCAGGGAATATCTCATCCAAGGGCCATTCCTGCTGCTTAAGTCTCTCGGAAAAGGAGACCAGGAGTTCCGGCATGTCGTAGGCGCAGGACAGGATGAAGATGTCGCCTAATAATGGCAACTGCACCAGCGACGAGGTCACCTCGAAGGTGTATATGAACTCCAGGAAGATCTCCACGCTCTCGGGGGAAACTCCATTGATCTGGAGCACACCGTTCCACTGCTTGTTCTGGTACACATCCTGCTCCAGTTTCTCGGAGGCGGTGGCCAGGAAAATCCGGTGGCAGCCGAACTTCTTGTAGCAGACGTTGGCCACCGAATCCTCGGTTCCGGAACCGGGGGATTCGTTCAGAACATGCACCTGACAGTCGGCATCGGCTCCACTGCGAAAGTACTCCAATCGACGGGTCCTACTCGTGGCGGGAGTGGTCTCATCAACCAGCTCTGGCTGGGGTTTCCGAAAAGCTTCCCTGAAATCCGAGTCCAAAATCGAGTCCGCGTTCGATGCTATGGTGGCCCGGGGGGTAACCGGAGTTTTTCTCTTGGATGGTGAGCGTGATTCCGATTCTCGAAAACCTTTTCGCCCAGTACCCCCTTCGGAATCTGGTTGCAGATCCTTCTTTGTCTCCTTAGAAAGCGGGGTATTCCTCGTGGATGATGAGGGTGTGGTGCCCTCATCCTCTTCGGTATCTGGTGGCATTTCCTGCTTTGCCTCCTCCTCCTGCGCATCCAAGTAGATACTTTGAGCAGTGGGCTTTTTCTCGGGACTTCGCGGGCTGTTCATGCCGGTGCCCTCTTCCCAGGAGTCTGACATTCCGGCCAGGGAAACCGAAACCCCAATTTCGTAATCCAAATTCGGAGCTATGTAGAAATACACCCCCTAAAAAATCCCCAGTCACTATGAACTGCAAACTACGTCGTCTGGAACTCCTGCGCAATGGCCGAAATTCGGACTGCGAGCTGCATGTCTGGTATCCGGATATGGTGGATGGTAAGCTGGGTCAGCGGATCTTCCGGTGCCACCAGGTAATGCTCGTCTCCGCCTCCGGGGAATTCGAGCGGCTGATCAGGGATCCCGAGTTTGGGAGAAACAAGAACGTGATCAGCGTGGAGGACGCCTCGCCCACCGCCTACGAAGCCCTGCTCCTCTATATATACACTTACGAAGTCTGCAACGCGGTCACCATCGACATGTGTGGTGACCTCATGCACCTCGCACAGCGCTACAACATGCTTGACTTCATCGACTGCTATGTAGAGAAGCTGGCCAACCAGGAGTGGCCCATGGAGGTGGTGCTGCAGGTCTTCCACCTGGCCAGTGAACACAATCATCCGGCTTTAATGGATCTTGTGGCGAAGGTAAGGAAACCTTGGGGTCGATGTCTTATTCAGGAACCGTAAGTCAGTTTAATACAATTAATGCCCTAAAAAGCTTTTTTAAAAAATAGGAAAAATGGAAAATTTATAATAAAAATTGAAAATTTAATTTATTTATCAAAATAATATTTTATGTAAAATAAGTTTTAGTTGTCTATTTTATAAAATGAATTGAAAAAAAATGCAATGCAAATATATTTTAAACCAATGAGTGGTTTACTAAGCTTGAAATATATTTGTTATCAATACCTTTGATATAAGACATAAAAACCTATAAAAGCTACGGTGCCAGGTTTAAATTGGTGCATGAATATTAAATAATTTATTTTCATTTCGCTTGCTGACTTCGTTATTAAACTTTAAATTGATCCTTCGATTTATGTAATTTCATTCCTTTTTAGAAAACTAGATTGTCTTGTTTTAATGGGTACTTCAAAGTACAGAATTTTCTTTTCATTTCTTATGCCAAAACTTCTTCATTAAATTCAATTGATCCCCAGATTTGTATCATTCCATGGGGTTACAATCGCATTAAATCTTTTTAAATTACTTCTTTTCAGAAAATCCTGCCCATTGCCACCCAAGTTCTCAAAGACCAATCCTTTTTAAAGTTAAGTCTAGAGGAGCTCAGGGCTCTGATGGTCATCCTAAAAAGGGAAGGAGTGCTCTCCGACCATCAACTGCTGGACTCGCTGAGGAACTACCAGGAGGTGAACGACATACGCTACAACGACATGGAGCAGTTCCAGCAGTTTGTGAAGGTGACTCAGATATTCGCCAACGTGCTTTTCGAGCTCCTTTTCGAGGTGGATGGCACCTTGGTCCTGCCCGAAGACGAGGCTTTCTTGACCAGAGAACACGGCTCGGACGCCTCGGTTTACCCAAGGAGCAGTCCGTAGCCAGATTAGATTACATATCTAGAGGGATCATTTATTGGAGAGTGGGGAAAAAAGGGGGCGCTGGGGCAAAACAAACAAAGTCGCATTCGGATCGGATCGGCTTATACAATAAATACTATAACATAATATTAATACCCGACAGGGCCGAGGCCAGTGCAACAAAATAATCTTACAAATCAATCAACGGATGATGCGGTCTGCCTGCAATCCTAGGATGCCGTGGTAATGGGCATGCGCTTTTCCAGCGGCACCATGACCACATCGCCATCAGCATCGCCATCGGCATCGCCATCGGCGTCTTCGTCAATCACCAAACTGCTCGGCTTGACGCTGAGAAAGTCGTCGCTGTCCAGGATCACGTCCTCCTCGTCCCCGCTGTCGGAGATCTCCAGGTCGTGCTCCATCCGGTGTCCGTTGCTCTGGGGCAGCTCCAGCTCCGCCGTCTTGGCGGGCACAGCTGCTGGCTGAGCCGCTGCATCGGCGTTGATGTCCAGCCCGGTGGTGCTGGTCTCGAACTTGCAGACCACCGCGATGCGCAGGTTGACGATCAGCGAGTAGAGCTTCACGGCCGGGCCCACCTTGAGCTTCAGGTACTTGTCCAACTCGTGGCGCCCCAGCATCAGCAGCGCCCTGCCATCGATGTCCTGCTCGAAGATCGCCTTGGCAATGTCCGCGGAGTCCAGGGCGCGCTCTATGCACTCGTACACATCCCAGTTGGTCCAGTGCAGCGGGTTGCTGCGCACCTGGTCCAAGTCGAAGGCGCTGTTCTGCTGCCAGAGGCGGTAGTTTTGCAGGAACTGTGGCCCGTACTCCTTCACATAGGACTTGGCTATGTCCAGGCAGCGGTGATCGAGTGTCGTCTGATCCGCCTCCGCCTTCGCCTCCTGCTTCTGTTCTTTCACAACCTTTCCCTGACGCGGCGGCGTCTTGCGCTTGGCCTCCACCTTAATTTCGGCCTTCTCCGGCTGGGCGGCGGCCTCATCCTTGACGGCCTGCTTGGCCTCCGAACTGGCTCGCTTTGGTTTCTTCGCCCAGCCCCGCCGGATCTTGTCGGGCGCCACGCGGGGCGGTTTGACCGTCTTGGAGCGCCACTGGCGCCAGTTCTCCGGCGCATACGGGCAGCAATCTCGCAGAGCGTGCACATTGAGATTGAAGCGCTTGGCATTGCCATAGCCGCGACAGCCCTCCACGTCGCACGGCATCAGGGACTTGGTCTGCAGATAGCCGGGCGGCGTCTCCAGCTCGTGCGAGGTGGCCTCACACCAGCCGATGGGATGCAGATCCGGACTGTCGTCCTCCAGCCAGAAGTAGTACTCCGTGGGCCAGCAGTCCAGGTGCAGTTGGACGCGGTAGCCCTTGCGCGTGACCACCGTGGCCGGGCGTATGAGGCTGGGATTGCGCTGGTCCACCACCTCGAGCTTCATGCGTGGCTGGTACTCCATGGGCTGGCGTGGCGTGAACAGCTCCTTCGAGGCGGCCGTTCCGCCCACCTTTGATATGTAGTCCGGCCAGTTGAACTCCGACTTCTGGAAGTCGGGCGGAACGATCAGCTGCTGGCGACCCTCGTGCCAGCCGCACGGATGGATGTACGGCGAGCTGACGTGCACCCACAGGTCGTAGCAGTCGTCCCAGCCGTCGAAGTGCACGCGAATGCGCTCGTCCAGGATGTCCGTCACCGTGGCCACGCACAGCTTGCCCGTGTCGTTGAGGTCCTCCGCCTCGAGATGCATGCCCACGGCGAATCCGTTGCGCACCCCCGCCTGCGTGCGCATGTTCAAGTGCGCAAAGAGCGACCGCGGGGCCGCCTTGCCGCCCGTCTTCACCAGATAGCGGCTCCAGCTGAAGCGCTCCGAGCTGTAGTCCTTGGGCGCCTGCAGCACCCGGGCCGTCTCGTCGCACCAGCCCGGCGGAAAGATGTCCTGCGAGTCGGCATTCAACCAGAAGTCGTACATGGAGGAGTAGCCGTCGAAGGTGAGCTTCAGCCGGTAGCCACGCACCTCGGCAATGCTGCACACACAGAACAGGGAGCAGTTCTCCGGGTCGATGGCCTCCAGCTTCATGCCGCGCTCGAAGCAGTTGGGGCTGATGGGGAACGGGTTGAGGAACAGGTGGATGGGCGCCGCCACATCCTTGCCCTTGGCCTTGAGGTACTCGCTCCAGCGGAATGGCTTTCGGGCCTTCTGCTTGGGTCGCTGCTGCAGCAGTTGTTCTTGTATGGCGGCCAGGGATTTCGATTGCGACTTCTCGCTTGCGTTGGCCTGTGGTTTCTCTGGTGGATCTAATGGCGCCCCAGCTGCCGGCTCCGCTTGGGTACGGCTCATCTTGCTATCCTTCTGCGAGCTCTGCGGCAGGCGACGCTTCTGGGCGCGACGCACACAGCACACGGAGCAGTAATCTGCGGGCGGAGAAACTGTTTAGTATTTGCGGTTGCATTGGGAAGCGCGCGGTTACTCACGTGGTGCCAGGAAGTCGGCGGCGGGACCGTGGCAGTTGCAGCGCTGGCACAGATACAGCAGCGGATGGATGCTGCCCGAGGGCCTCCGGCCAGGACGATCAAACAGGGCCCGCTCGAAGTAGGCCGCCGGACCTTGGCGCGGCTCGCAGCGCTCGTTGAGTTGCAGCAGGTTAAAGTGGTTCAGCTCGAACCGCATGGTGGAGTTCTGCAGGTTGGCCGGCTGCTGGCCACGCCACTTCAGCATGGACAGGTTCTGCATCATGCTCTTCTTCAGGCCAGCGGCCTTGCTGCCGGGCGAGGCCACCACATCATGGTCATAGGGTTTCTTGCCATTCTTCAGAGATGGACGCATCGTTTCGGTCGATTTGGACGGCGACGGGGCCGTGTCCGAGGCACTTGAGCCCGCAGAAGAGTAGGAGGTGGAGGAGGACTTGGGCGGAGTAGTGGGCACCTGCTCCTCGCAGCGCAGCGAGCGCTCAAAGTCCTCCTTGGACAGCGGCAGGGATTCCGCCTTGATAATGCTTATGCCAGGCGGCAGACTCAGTTGCTCCTCCATTTTGTTCGTGGTTGGCGCACAGATCTCCTCCACATCGCTGTTGGATGAGCTGCCGCTGGCACAGGAGGAGATGGTCGTCACGGAGGAGTCCTTACGCACGGGTTTCGATTTGGCTGCTGATCTGCTGGTAGCGGAAATGGTTATCCCAGCGGGCAGAATGGGCATCACAATCTCTTTTTTCTTGGGCTTCTCCTCTGGATGCTTCTCCTCCTCCTTCTCCTCCTCGCTCTCGTCGTCATCTTCTATGGTGATGGTCTCGATGGGAGCACTGGGCTGCTCGATTACATCCACCTCCTTGGCCATAATGGCCACCGAGTGGCGTCGCTCGTTGCTTAATAAGGGTGATGTCGGCTGGATGGCCACAAAGGATTTGGAGCGATGCAGCTTGGGTGATCCCTTGGGCGAAGTGGTTTCTTTTGGCACCGGCTCCAGCAGTTTGGCTGGTGGTTCCGTGGGCTCCTTAGCTGGCTCAGTTGGCGTAACCTCCAGCGGTTTGGGCGTGGGCTTTGGCGTGGGCTTTGGCGTGGGCTTGGCCATCTCATGCTCTGTGGCTTTTGATTCTGCCGTCACAATGGGTTTATCCTGGCTGGGCAGCGGCAGTGGCTTTGCGAGTGGTATTTTAGCCTTAATCAGGCTCTGGCCGTTATTGGTGGGTAGCTCCTCCGCGACTACAGACATGGCCTTAGCCGGAATAACTGCCTTGACTTGTTGGCTATTATTAATATTATTATTGTTGTTGTTGTTGATGTTATGGTTGTTAAGCTCTGAGGTCCTTTCCTTATCCTCGCCACTGCTCTTGGCCAAGGGCATTCCCAGCTTCTTCACATGATTCGCCTTGTGCAGAACCAAAGAATTCGGATTGGCCTTGACCTGGTTGAACTTCAGACGCAACTTGTCCACCGCCACCTTGCTGAGTATGAGTGGAGCACGTGGCTTGAGGGGATTAGCCAGCAAGGAGATTTGCGCCGGACCCGTGCTTGGAATTTGGACAGGTGCTGCAAGGTTGGGCAAATGAAAATAGAAGAGAAGATACAAAATTAGCAATTGACTTTTCCTTTAATTAGTACTGATCCTCCACCAAAACCTCGCCCCCGCTGCTCCAAAAATCTTCTCCTCTTATTGCAGCTGCAAAAACCTGATCGTCATCATCATTGTTGCTGTTTTTGTTTTTGTTGTTGTTGTTGTTGCGGCTACCCCGCCTTTTGCATATTGCTATTGATAAAACCAGCATATATAGAAGAGTAATACATTTGTTTCTTTTTTGTGTAATTTGTTTTAATCATTTGCTGACCCTCTTTTTTTGGAACGAAACGTTCAATTTATATCCGAAACTGGCACACGCACACAAAACCTATTGACTCGGCTGGTTCCAAACAGTTTTTGGTGTTATGAAATGTGCAGCAGTCGAGTAGCAACTGAAAACTAAACCCGCAGCAATGCGAACAACGAAAGTAAACTATAAAGATTGCCCCGCTCACACACACACTCACACGCACACACCCGAGTATTCCCCATTTTCCATTTTCCGGATTGCTTTGGGATCGGGATCCGTTCGGATGGGAACGAACCCTCCTATTTGATCAGTGGGGTGTTTGCCCTATAGCTTATATAACTTGGAAACTTGGGGGGAAAACCCGACCCTCTACACTTACCCGCTTGCAATTTCTGTGGAAGCTCTGTTTTGTTCAGTAGCGTTAGGGCAGCTCCACCCGGTCCACCCGGTCCACCTGCTCCTCCTCCTCCTCCCAATCCTCCGGCAGCTGCTACTGGCGTCATGGTGGCCATGCCATTGCTGTGGATGGTCAGGCTGTTCTTGCTCAAAGGTGTCCCGGAACGTATGATCACTGGCTGGGGATTGGATGCACCTCCTCCGAGAAGCGTGGCCTTCCGATTGTTGGCCAAAATGGCCACGAGTGGCTGGTTGGAATTGCTAGTAGATGGCAGCAGTTGGAAGAGGGGAGCAGATCCAGCGCCACCAGCTGCAGATCCTGCCGTGGTCTTTAGGGAATTGGGCACAATGTTGACTGCCGTCAGTTTGGATTTCAACGGTTGCACATTGCTGATGGTGATGTTGCTGGTTTTGTTCGCCGATCCCATGGATGCGAGGGGCAGGAAGCGCAGCTCTTCCTTGCGCGGCGTCAGGGTCAGCAGGCTGTTTGAGTTTCCGCCGGAGATGGCTGTTGCTCCTCCATTTACATTTACGTTTCCATTTCCATTTCCAGGCGACACCGAGATGGACAACTCGCGCTGGAGCTGCTTGGCCTCCGCGGTGGCCATCGTCAAAGGGATCATTAAGATTTTCGATCGTAGTCCCTATTATATTTTAATTTTCGCACCAGAATCGGGCACAAAACAATTCAACACAAATTCCTTTCCCGTTTCGCGTCTTACAATTTTTGTACGTTGAGGCGCACAAAAGTTTTTGGCATTTTACACTCTGCACTGGGTTTAGTATTTTTTTTTTGTATTCCCCCTTTTCACAGAAGTCTTTTCCGATTTTGACAGTTGTATGTAGCTCGATTAATTAGTTTTACTTTTTTCTTGGCTAATCGGTTTTTACATTTTTCAAAATAGCACTTCTTTCAGGTTTTTTGAATTAAAGTTATTAGTTTCGCGCGTTTATTTGCACTCATTATGTGTATTTCTCGATTAGGTATAATACCAAATGGTGGTATTATTTAATGCGTAAATTGGAGAGTTGGTTTAAAAATATTTACGGTTACTTTGTGTTTACAATTGAAGCTGAAAAGGGTAAAAACAGGTTTATTGTTAAAATATTTGGTTTGTTTATAAAATTGTTTCGTTGGTTTATGATAAATACTTAAGTTTCTTTAAAGTTGCCCCAAAAATGTACCCGTGCCTAGCAATATTAAAATGAATTATATATGTTTTTTCTTTTTCAAAAATCCTATTAATAACATTAGAGTCTCCTTGGAATTACTTATAAAAGAAAGATTAATTTTATTTCGTTCGTTTTCTCACTTTAAACAAATTGCCCGCGGCCATTTGGCTTAAATTCCGTTGCCCGCCTACGGTCACACTGGATATATATTGAATTTTGATACCATTTTTAGTTATGCTGCCTTAAGATTTATGTTATCTCAAAAATGACCCGCCCCTATTTATAGCCCCTTGAGACATTATATCCCCACTAATGGGATTATGAGGAACTAACCACTGTAAATCCAAGCCCGATCTACCTGTCCCACAATGTTACGTAGCTGCCCAATGTCACAAGAACATAAACGTCTTATCTGGTTTGGTGTTCTTTAGGTAGCGATTTTTGCAAGTTTTAGATGGCTAATGTGTTTAGTTTTTCCCTTTTTATACAGTCTAAACCTCCGATTCCCAGAATCAAACTCTTGACTTACCTCGGGCAATTCCGTTTTGCCGCGGAGCTAAATGAAGTGTACAGCCTCGAAAGGAGGTGGAAACCAGGATATCGGGATGCTGTTCGTGGCGAGGACACGGCTGAAATGACAGACCTTCAGGACATCAGGTCGCGAATGTCAACTTAATGGCATGAGAACGCTTACCTGCTTTATCCGTTTTGATTGTTGTTGCGAGGTTGTTAAATACGTTCGACCTCGTACAATACAAATTGTGGCGTACTTGGTGCGAAAACGAAAACTCACTGAAAGCAGCCGTAAATACGGCACAGTTCCAGCACACTTTTCACGAACTTCATAAACAAGGCGGTTACACTGAACCTCTCGGGAAATTCCAAACCGAACTCCTTTGGAAACGGAAGCGTTCTGTCCAGCGATATTAAAACTGCAAAAGCATGTGTGTATTTTAATTTCTATGATCGAACGGCTCAGGTGGCAACTCTGGTCTCCGCCTGGTGTCGGTTATTTTGAAAAGGCGGAAGTAAAACGATAATAAATTACTGAATTGCCGTTTTCTAAAAACAATAATGAAAATGGTTTACAGAACAGCCACCAATTTGTAAATAATTTGCAAAAGTAAGCGTTCTGGGCGCTTAAAATTTCTAAATAAAACTTAGGGGAAAAGTAGCTGAAAATCTTAGGGTAAGGTCACTTTTCCGAAATACTTACAAGGTAAAGGTTTTGTTTAATAAACATCTGATAGCATCTAAATACACTTTATTCACTTTTTATATAGGTTATTTTAAATATTTGTTTTAAGAGCACAAATTGCACCTGCTTCTTCTTCCTTTCAAACTTGTGATAGTATTGGAAAGTGCCGGTTTTACTGAACAACGGCAGCACCCGCTGCCAGTGCTGCCTAACCTCCCGTGGACCAAGCCTAAGTGGTAGTTTTTTTTCGTGTCAATTTTAAAGAGAAAAATCGGCGAAAGCTAATTGATTAAAGGTTATAAACAACAGAAGAGATCCCTATTCACTGCCAGCCATGTCTTTATTAAACAATGACGATAGTATTCCCAACATGGACGAGGATCCACTGGGTGAGTTAAATTTAATGGGTGTGGGCGAAGTCCCAAATGATGATGTTATCAATTGTTATTGTCTCTAAAAAACAGTGGTCATTCCGGATGACGAACCCTCGACGACAGGGCATATGCCCAGTGGAAGATCCATGGACTCGCTCCGTTCCTCCTTCACCAATCGTAGTTCCACACCAGATTCTTCGCACAATTCGTTGGAAGCCATGGAAATGGCCCAAGACGATCGGGAGGAGAAGGCCCGTCTGATTACACAGGTCCTGGAGCTCCAAAATACCCTAGATGACCTGTCGCAACGCGTCGACTCCGTCAAGGAGGAGAATCTCAAGCTGCGCTCCGAGAACCAAGTGCTGGGCCAGTACATCGAGAACCTGATGTCGGCCTCCTCGGTGTTCCAGTCCACCAGTCCGAGTGCGGCCAAAAAGAAGTAATCATAAATCTCATCCCACCGGAACTGGAAACCAAAAACCATCTCAAATATGCCTTCTCGTTCACGCTAGAGCTACATATATAATCTTTAACACTCGAAATTAAGCTATTGCAATGTTGTTTGAGTTGCCCAATTGTCGAATTTGTCTTTGTTTAGGCTTAAGCTTATGGCGCGCTATGTATTTTATACATAAAAGTAATTTATTTATATAGATAATTAATAAATCAATAATATTCCAAAGCAATTGAAGGATTTAAAAAAGGGTATAATGGGTTGGCAACACTGACCAGCCAGCTGTTCGTTGTCGCGAAACTGCAAATTTGTTTGGGATATGTTTAAAATATGTAAAATGCCGTTTTCTTATATTTTGCATTAAATTGTTACATTTTTATGTTGAAGAAACATATAATTAATAACACCATACATTTAATTTCAAATAATAGGGCTGCCACCTGTGCGGCAGCCTGGCAGCCCTGGTCAGCCAGCTGTTCGTCGTGGTCGTGCAACAACATATTTGGCAGCGAGCTGGATAATTTATTTTTGTATTCGGAAAACGTAGAAAGCGAGTAAAAGTCGTTGTAGTTCCCTGCGCTGGGAAATTCGAAAACTGTCCTACAAAACTGGAAAAATAAGAAACTGCACGTTGGTCGACACAAGAACAACTTAACCTGGAAGAAAAGTGATTGCGAAATACGCTCCAAGAGGTGTGTGTTTGTGTGTTTAGTGATTTGTGTGTGTGTGGGGGAAAAACAAAACATTTGCGATGTAGTTGTTGCTCTTAAATATAAATATTTGAGAGGGAAAATCCCATTTTGATCGCTGTTAACGAAAAGCAAGCATTTAGCTTGCCTTTCTTTGTATTTGGGGGCTCTTTTCCTCCTGCTCGCGTCTATGGAAAAGCAACAACAGTGCAGACAGTTGACAGTGTTGTAAGGCGTCTCACATACATACGCTGAATTTATTATTTTTTAATATGCACTTTATTTTGAATACCCTCTCCGCCCATCGGACCACCCCGCAGGCCGCCCACGCATTTGCGTCAACAAAAGGAAGCCAGACGTCATAATCGCTTCCACTTGGAAGCGCTGCCGTTTTCAACATTTTATGGCGGAAGCAACAGCCGTCAATTTGTAATTGAGCACATTCGAAGAAACACCCAATCCCCGCCAGCAACATGTTTTGACCTCTCACTCGGAATAGCTGGAGCGCCCGCTGCTCTTCTCTGTTCCCCCTTTCAGTGCAACAGCCCTTCATAACAAGCACAAAGCCTCAGCACTTAAGCCATGTCCTTCTCCGACTTCGACGCCATCTACGAGGATGAGCAGCTGGACGAGCTGGAGCACTTCCAGGACCAGACGGTGGCGCCCGTCCAGGAACCCATTATCATTCGCGGTGCAGGCAACATGACGGTGTAAGTGGTTCTAGAATGAGTTACAGTAAACAAGCGATTAGGGCAACACAAGCGGGAACACAGATAAAGTTCGGATTTTAACCCCATTCAGAAAGACAGTAGTATTATCTGCACTTTACATGATTCAATGATGAACACAGTTGCGGTCGAAATAACAGCATTTTGTTTTACCAACATTTAAAACAGGATATATTTTGATTTAAAATAATACTAGTTTAGCTCAAACTTCAATAGTCAAGTGATTACAAGTTTAGAAATTTGAAATGTTTAATTGCTTACACAATATGCTTATCAACTTTGAGTATTTCGACAAAACAAAATTAATTTCAAACAAAGTTAAATCAAATTCATTAAAAGTAATGAATAAAATAATTAGTTTACCATGCCACACAATTTATTTTCCAATTTTGTATATTTTTAATCCAATTCAAATTCAAATTAAGTTTGATAAAATTAAAATACAAATTTTAATTTTGAGAAATTTTTGTGATCCAGAGAAGTTTAAATATTATAAAAAAAATCGAAAGAATGTTGATAAAAACGGACCACAGCTGATTGCGTAGCATTGCTTGTAATGAGTTGAAATGTAGTTCAAGGTCATCGCCACCTAATTTCGACATAGACTTTGGTACCACTTGATACCACTTGACCCAATTTTTTTTTTTTTTTTGAAAGGTGGGATTGGTGCCCCCAGCTGTCAATTATAGACAGGTTGCATAAGAGATGAGTCAGGGCAGAATGATTGCATTGCACGCTAACTACCAATAATAATTCCATTTCTTTTTTCCCATGCACACAAACAGATTTGGCCTGAGCAATCGCTTTAACGCGGAGTTCCCTTGCGGTCTGTTGTCCCGAGTGGCTCCCGAGGAGTTCAAGGCGACGGTGGGCCGGATTAACGGAGTGCTGAAGAAATCCCTGCCGGTCAACGTCAAGTGGCTCTTTTGCGGGTGTGTCTGCTGTTGCTGCACGCTCGGCTGTTCCCTTTGGCCCGTCATCTGTCTCAGCAAACGCGTAAGATTAATGAAAACCTCCAGAGAGATCATGTAATCCAAACAGAAAACCCTTTCCATTGCAGACACAACTCACTCTGGACAAACTGTTCGAATGGGAAAATAATCATCTATATCATAAGCTGGGCCTGCACTGGCGACTGCATAAGCAACAATGTGATTCCAATTCCATGATGGAGTATGTTATTTTAATTGAATTTATACCCAAAACGCCCATCTACCGGCCCGACTAAATTCCGGTTAGGCAAAGGGGCGTGGGCACGATATCGCGGGGTCGTAATGGTAATTGTAAAATAAACACTAGCTGCTAACACTTTGCTTTAGGCGTTTACGGATCGTGCTAAACGGCAGAGAGTAGGAGAAGTACACTAATCCATAGGACAGGCAGGCACAGCACACAATGGATGAGCATTACCTAATTTAGTGCACCCGCAGATTGTCGTATTAAGCTATTACTATTTAATTTTTGCTAAAATCCTAGCCAGTAAGAATGATTTCTCGTAACTTTAGGGCGCTTTACTTCCCTGATTTGGTTTAGTTGGAAATTCCAATTTGTTTTTCAAACTAATGCAATATTATTAAATATATTTCTTGATAGGAAATTAAAATTGATTTACAAGAGATGTGTGTTTTTTTAAGGTTCAGATCCCACTTCCAACCCCGTTCAAAATCGAAATATTTTCAGTTATTGTACAAGGTACATATATATTTTGATATATATCATATGGTTACCTAAGTATTTTCTGGTTTCATTAACTTTACAGCACTTTGGGGCATAGACGGTCGATGAACAATAAATACATTTTAGTTTACTTTAGGTTTCATTTATGAAATAATGCTTAAATATAATCAAGTCTTTTAACAATGCGCGGGTCTGGCTCTAGGAATACATATAGTATATATATAGCTTAAGGAATGCGATTGGAATGAATCGGTATTAACAATGGTGTTTATCTTTTTGGGGTAATACTTGGAGATGGAGACTTTAATGTTGGTGGCAAAGCCAACTACTGTTCCTCGTTGATGACTTCAACTTGCGTGGAGCACTCGGACATGGCTAGGGTGGGCATTTCTAGGTCGCTGTCAATGCCCAGGTGTTCTTCATCGTCCTCCTCGATATCCTCGTCATCCTCCTCTTCGTCGTTGTCATCCTCATCTTCTACTTCATCGTCTTCGCATTCTGGCTCTCCCATAGTTTCCTCCACATCGTCATCTTCTTCCCCATCTCCATCAATATTCTCCTCTTCGCTTTCTAGGATTTTCCTCTCTGTTTCTGGTTCAACCGACATCTGAGTTTCGGGAACGGCACCGTGCTTAGGCTCCGGTTCACTTTTAGCTGCCTCAGAAGTTCCATTGGCCAACTCGCTGGCGGTTTTAAGCAACACATCCGTTTGCTTGCGCAGTGCCCGCATTACCATCGTATCCTGCTTCAGCTGAAACTCGTGCTCCCGCCGCGCAATCTCCTTCTGCTGCATGAAGAAGTCCTGCAGCATCTCCTTCTGGGCCGAGCGCAACGCGGTGGCCAGTTGGGAGAGCTCTTTGGCGAACAGATCCTCCTGCCGCTTCTTGCGCTGCTTCGTTTCTTCTTCGCTGGTCTTTTTTTTGCTTTCTTCGCCTATGCCAGATTGAGATCGAATGCCTTTCGGAGTCGATTCGTACATATTGGAGCTGCGCTGCAGCTTAACAGGCACCACTGGCATGCCCATAACCGGACTTTGACCCAGGCGACGCTTTCGCGGCTGGAGCTGCTGGTGCTGCTGCGGAGTCAACTGGTGGGAAGACATCATGTGAGCCTGTCTGCTGGTAGAGGCACCACTTTGTTGCCCGGCCATCGGATACTTGGGCGGCGGTCCACGGCCCAAGAGAGCGGCCATCGGCGACTGTGGGGGACTGGACGTGACCTGATCCAGGTCGGGAATCATCCGCTCCGGCCGCAGTGAGTAACCCGTATCCCGCATGGGCACCGTCTTCATCCGCATGCCCGTCGGCTGGACACTGATGTCCCTGGGCAGACGCAGCCCGGGTTGGCTGTTATTTGGGTTCTGCTTGCGGGGTAGCATCAGCTTGCTGTGCGGATGCACAAAGTTTATGCTGCTGGTGCTCTGGAGCGGCATGGATCGGCTCGCCTGGCCCGGACTGGGTATCTGGTGTCCCATCTTGGTGAGCGTTGGCGGAGGCCGATCAATCTGCAGGATGCCGTGAGAGGGGCGTCGCAACTCGTCCTTGGCAAAGGAGGCTACGCGCAGTGGAGGGAGAGCGGAGACCGGGGTGGATGAATACGGCAGATCGTCGTCGGTCTCATCCAGCGCCACGGGAGGTGGCGAGGGCGATGCTGGTGCCGTGGGCGGCGGCGTGTTGGTGGTGTCCATGCCCAGGTCCATGTCGGGTTCATGTTTCACGGACACTATAAACGGCAAATGGGGCACATCCTCCTGGTCGTGATTGTCGGTCTGGGAGCTCTCTGCCTCGTAGTCAATGGCTTCCATATCTGGTTCGGACACCATGTCTGGCTTCTGAGACGTCTCATAGCCTGGAACGAATAAGCAAGTAATTAATGGTTAGAACTTTTATTGCGAATTAAAAGTTATTCAGTTTTAGGAAATCACAATGAACAATAAAATTAAAATTCAATAAAAAATATGATCACTTTTCACTGATGTCGTTAACCATTCTATAGAAATCTTAAATAAATCAAATGATTAGCCTGTTATACGTTTAGTTGTCTTAATATCAAAACTGAGTACTGGGACAAATAAATTGACATCGCCACACACCTGTATCGATTGGCTCTGGTTTGATGGGTCCCAATCGGAAACCAAATATGGGATGCTCCACGCCCAGGATGTCCTCCTTGGGCTCTTCGCCAACTGTTTTGGTGCTGTCCATCGAGTTGCCGCATTCGCTGAGGCTGCCGTTGACATTGCTGCTGCTGCCGCTGTAGTTTGTGTCCCTCAGCATTCGGCAGAGCACACGGTACACCTCCTCCGGCACCACTTTAGGCACCCCGGTGCCTTGACGCGTTGTGGTGTTGTACGTGGACTTGAGGAACTTCCACTTGGTCCAGATCTGGATGCTGGACTTCTTCACATAGCCCTTGCTGCGCATCACATCCTCGATCTGCCGGAAGACGTGTTCGCTCTTCATGTTCCGGTCATTTAGCTGCTCCAGGGCGTTTAGATTCTGCATAATGCTCAGCATCTCCAGCATCTCGGCCCGGCTCCACAGGTTGCGTTCCGGCCGAGAGCTCGAGCCCATGGATTCGGACTTGCCGGAACTGTTGGCGGAGTAGGGTGGCGACAAATGCGCTTTAATGCGCATGGGCGTTAGCAGTCCGTCGACATCGCCCACCACTCCGTTGCCAGTGGATGCCGTGTGCAGGAGGTGGTTGACGTCCTGGCCGCTCGTTTGATGGCTCGGTATGTGACCTTGGCTCTGACGCATGTTTTGCTCCACTTTGCTCAGCAAACGCATCTTCGTGTGAGCGGCCACCGTTGTCGGCGAAGAAGCGGAGCTTGCGGGGGCTCCTGCAGCTCCATGACTGCCAGACGTCGAGGAGCTGTCGTTCAGGCCCAGAAAACGTGGCATTAACATGGATGTGTCGTTGGTCGTTCACTCTTGGGATCTTCGAATCTCTGCAACTATTGAAAGGCAAGAAAATATTTTAATATCGGTTTGGAAAACAGTTTTTGACGCCAAATAAAATATATTCAGAAACGGTTTTGACATCAGAACTTAAAACCAGTGTTGGAAGAAAACTTCTTCAGGTTTTTAATGCGGTCGCCTTGTCATTTGGTTTAACAAAAAACTAGAAATTGGGTAAAGCTAATTTTGTTGTTAAAATAATTCATTAGTTCTCTGAGAGATAGAGACGATTGAGAACTCCTATTAATATTTTGACCACACCTTTTTGCACATCAAAAAATGATAACAAAAAACTGTGTAAGCCCTGACTGAATTATTTATTTTTTGAAGAAATTTCAATTTGTTTTCAACCTAATAGACAACTTTTAAAGCTCGATGTTCTGCAGATTAAACTTGTTTTTGACTCATAACAGGTGTTTCACTAAGTTTACATCATCATTTATAAACTAACGAAACTATTTGACACCAATTACTCATACGAAATTAGCCTCTCAAATGAGTTTTAAAGTTGACATTCGATTATCCAATCTGAAATTCTCCACTGTTAAAACCCACCAGATAATCTCTTGCAGTTTGTTAAAAACATTATGGCCCTGCGCCAACGAAAAAAACCCAGTTTTGGACTTTTTGTGTCAAAAGTGGCAATCGTGGATTCGGTTATCTTTCGGTTTTTGTCTTCAGAATCCACCACCAACTTGATATATAATTCCATGTACACATTTGTTTGTGTGAAGTTGACGTGTTTCCAACTGTTTAACACATTCCAAAACTCATCAAAAGTGGCAGCTCACCGTCGACACGCTCACCAGCAAGCAACAAATACACGAAAAGAGCTACAGATCTAAACCGTCGAAATATATATATTTTTTATCGATTTTGATTATTTCAAAACGAATAATGGCCGCAAAGAAAACGTAAAAAATATTCTCTCCCGCACACACAGATACAGCAGTAAAGTGAAGCGAGCCAAGTGGAACACACTCAATAACAGAACATTTTCGAGATAGTGATTTCCAAATGCAAGTAAACAAGATAGCGTTAAATATAACGTAGAAATACGAATTTTAAGAAGTGATTACGCAGCGTACGAATTTGGAAGATACGCAGAAAGAAGAAGTAATGAATGGAAGGGGCAATAAGAAAGTGGCGGGTTGAAACTAGAATTGAATCTCAAATTTTGAGTAATTTTCCAGCGCCTCAAGATTCGCACAGTGGTCGGGGGTTGTTTCAAATCGGTTTCATAACCCATCGTTTTTAGAACGCTTTGTCAAGCGATTGGGTTTCAAAAATACCCGTCAGTTAACTATACATTCTAGGCTGGCACTCTATACACAATATTCCAAAAGCGGAAATGTAATTGCCAACTTAATTTAAATCGCTTGCGGGCACTGTAATGCGAAAGATACGATAATAAGCTGTTAGGGGGAGGGGAGGGGGGGGTTTTGGGAGTGAGAGCCGGAGAGAGCAAACTAATTCTTTTCGGTTTTGGGTCTCTCTCGTCTCAGCTCGGCTCACCCACACAGCGAAACTCACGAATTTACGCTTATTATGTGCAGTTAAGAATTTTTCAAGAAAAGAACAGAACATAACTGCCGAGTTTCCCACAATATATTTAGTCCATTGACAAGTGTCTTCGAAGCATTTGCGTTGATAAATTAATGCACATGCCTGCCAGTTAGTTTTGAATTATTCGACTTGAACTATTTCCAAAGCAGAGCAACACCTTGCACACCAACACGACACTCGCAGGCACACACTTACCAGCAGCAGCGCAAAGAGAGCGGCGAGCGAGGCAGTCAGAGAGAGAGAGAGACTGTTTTCCAATTTCAAGCGACGAAACAAGCCAAACCGTCGCCGTTAACGACGATTTCAATACTAATTTCAAAACTCGAAAAAGCGACGAACGGGCCTACAAAAACCCAACTACTATATACACATGCATGTACGGTCCACCTGGGGCTGTGTGCGTGTGCGCCTCGGTTCGGCTTTATATATTCGTTATTCGGAAGGTACAAATAATGGTTATGGTCGCTAGTTGTTTTTGAGATTGCGAGAGATTGCCGGAGAGACAGTTGCCTATTATTTTTTTATTTTGCCTTTTCTTCTTTCGCTGCCATTTACGTTTTTATTTCGCTCTTTTTTTAAGAACGGGGTTATTTCGGGGAATATATAAATTTATGGGTTCGCGCGCACACACACTAAAAAAAGCTACAGTTAAATGTGGTATACACATGTTGAAATCGAGTATAATGATTTTTCAAGTTCTGTTTTTGCTTGTTCATTGCCATTCACATTAAAATTAAGAGGCAGTGAAAAGTTTCAGACTATCTTTTAATTTAATGATAACGATTATCTTCATCTCAGAATAGAGGGACAGTTTGTTAAATAATCAGATGATTCAAGGGTTTTAAACGTTTAGACTTAGGAAACCCAATAGCTGATTGATCCAATTTGAATAAAGTTTTAAACCAGTTTGACAAGTTTTGGCCGTATTCAAAACTTTTTGCTTACCCAAACGGTTTAAAAACATGCAACATTAAAAATAGGGTTGGGCATTTTAAGTGTTTGCGTTTAGAGACTTTGAAAATATAGAAAATCGATACTTTAAAATACTGAAAAAAATTAAAATTGTTCTTTTATTCAATAAAATTTGTGAAAAAAAAACTTTTGCTACACACTATAAAAGCCTTAGTTAAGGGTACGTACAATCGCACTTCACTTTAACAAGCTTTTTGTGTAATGAGGCAAGGATATCAAATTTCCTTGGGCGTTAAGATATTTCCAGTGTTCAGTAGACGAGTGACCACTGTAAAACCGATACGCAAAGGATTAGCATTGTGGGAAATAAATAATGTGTTTGAATATCCTTGATACAGGTGAGAAACAACCCTTTTTCGACAATATAACAATGCACATACATATGTACTTAGTTGACCTGCTGAATACTTGTTCTGAAAATTCCCATTCAGCCGAGCTTCCTTGAAGTTTTCGGGGTGGCAGATGCTGAGAATGAGTATCTCGTATTGGCTCTGAACGCCATGTGCTAAAGTCTAAACTAGATTTACAAGTATTGAGCGCACTGAAATTCGTTCTGCGGCTGCGGGGGGATTTCGAGTTTCGAACTCGAAGCGCTTCTAGAACAGGAAACTTGAACTCTACTCCATGGATGAGCAGCAGAGGCGCTGGGAAAATGCGGAAAACCTTTTATTTGCAACTGCATAAATAACGCGTCGCACGAGTTCCGACAGAAAATAAAACACGATTTATCAGCATTATATCGTAAATACATAAATGAATAAAGCGCAAGGCAAAAATTTGCAAGTAATGTAATGTAGAACACAAACATAGTGTTATAATGCAGCCTATATTGAAATTTGCTAAAATAGTACTGTTTAAAGTAAAATATAGTAAAGACATTTATAACACTCAGTTGCTGCTCAAAAGTTTTCTTCTCGATAGATCTCTTCAGTGAATAATTGTAATTGATTAATTGATTACAGCTGTTCGGATTTTTTTGTACCAATCTGCGGTTCTCTTGAGCAATTATTCAATATACTTGAAATATTTATAAACAAGAAAAAAGCTAGCGTTGAAAAAGCTTTTATTAAAACTTAATATTCTATAAAACGACTCTGTTTTCAACCATACATATTTTTTTGTTTGCTAAATATATACGATTTTAATTAAAATAAAATCGTATTATTGGGTGGTTATTAAATTTCGAAGTACATTCTTGTAACTTAAAAAAGAGCGAACTAATTATTTTTGAAACTTTTTTATAAGAGTTTCTATGTTATAGTTTTGCGATCCGTCCCGTTCCGACTTACGTACCACCAACAATAGAAAGAAGACTTTTGCCAATTTTTTGTGTTTGTAGTCTCTTGACAGATCATATTATCTGGTTACCACCAGGATTTTTGTATTTTAAATTTCATCTCCAGGATGTCGTTACTCGCTTATTCTCGATTAGCTGTTTACTTTTCCAAGGATCTTTACCTGGGTGTTAGTTCTGAGACCAACGCCTGTTTTCGCCACCTGATTCGTTAAGACATATTCACTCACACAATAGGTCAGTCTTTCGGAGATTAGATCCGGATTTAAGTGGGTATAGACAAGGTTTTTAAATAAATTACCAAGTATTATGTAGTTTTTCCTTTTAAGCTCTTGAGCTTTGCATCGAAAAGATACAAAAGTAAGGGACATCTTTCTATCAATAAAGCTAACTTTTTTATAAGTTGTTTAAACTCAAATGCATACTTAAAAAGTTTAATAAACAGTTGATAACGGGACATATCGATTGTAGCGAAATCATCGATAGAACCGGCATTGTGCAGCCCTGGTTTGGGTTAGTCGCGAAAACTATAAGGAATGTCGGGGTCTCCGGTAAAACGACCGAAAATCGGGAACAGCGACTGCCTGTCTTACCTGCAGGTGAGTTTGGCTCTTCCAGGAGGCTCCCAACTAACCGATGCCTTGCCTTCCAGAGCCTGGGAGATGTTCCGCCAGAGGACGCCGCCCTGCAACTGGCCCAGCGAATCCGGGCGGAGGAGGAGGAAGCGACGCAGTCGGACACGTGCGGCGTCGCCAACCAGGCCGCCCTGAACATAAGCTTTCGCGTGTACTACCACATAGTGCACAAGTATGAGCTACAGGACAGCCACTTCGAAGATCTCCCCCAGCGTTTGAGCTGCGTGCAGCCCACTGCCTTCCTGATGCTCCAATCGGTTCTCCTCACCGACCACTGGAAGCGACTGGATGCCTCGCTGCTGGAGGAGAAGTGCACCACTGCCATTATCGAGGCACTGCGCCAAAACAGTCCCAGTCTGATGGCCGTGCTCAAGGCCACCAACCTGCTGGTGAAGAAGTTCCCCAAGCTGGATCTCCTGCCCCTGCGTTTGGAGCACTTCTACCACTGCCTGCAGCGCCAGACGCAGACTGGATCGCGCGAGGAAACCCTGACGCTGTACAATCACTGCTGCAAACAGAAGGAACGAGCCTTCTCCTATTTCCGCCTGATTGTCGAATTCTGGCCATGGACGAATCGCAACAAATATTATCTGCTGAGTGGGGCACTCAACTCGTATCCACTGGCGGAACTCCTGGCCGCCACCAATCAGAGCGAGGAGGAGTTCTTCAGGGGACTCCGGCTCAGCCTGAGCTACAAGGGACTCCGGGCAGCCAGCCAGTATCCGGTGAAGAGTCTGAGCAACCAGCGTTCACCCGAACTACTGGCCGCCAGTGTGGACCTGCTGCTCAGTGGCAGCGTGGCTGAGATCCAGAACTTTCACTCGCAGTGGTTCCTGCGCATCCAGCAGCGCGATGTTCTGTTCGAGCTGCTGCAAGCCAATCCTCAGATCGTCGAGTTTCTGGCCTGCTCCGAAGATCTGAGGTCGCCGGCAGATCAGTTGCGCCTGATCCTGATCTTCAGTATGTTTGCAAAGGAGATATATGCCGCCTCAAAGCTGCACTTTTTCAAGATCAGCACAGAGCTGTTGACAAATTGCAGCCAAATGGAGACGGAAGCGCAGCTGTTGGTGTTTCGATTTCTTGTTGACAACCTGGGGAACTTTGCCGTCGAAGATTGTCTAGAGTTTTTCCATAGCTTCGTCGAGCGACATCGCAGCCTGGAGAGTTCAGAGTTTCGGAACACGATGCTGGGCAAGATGCCTACAATTATCAACCACACGGCCAAACATTTCCATAAGGTACTCAAAGCGGACAGCGGCGTGGGAGGCGATGCCTTGGCGCAGAATATCAAGCGATTCTTCTCGCACTTGCAGATACTAATCGAGCGGGACATCCACAGTGAAGTGTATCAACCAAAGATATTTGCCCTCAAGCTGCTGGAGATCCTGAACCGGTCGCTATATGCCAAACAAGTTGCAAAGAATGCCAAAATGTGTAGTCCCCAGCAGAATCAGCGGATGGGGATATACCTTCTGGAACAAGGAGTTTTTCGGCCAAAAGACATGGCACAGCAGCTATTTGAAACCCTTAATAATCCACAAGGTTTCGATGATGCTTTGGAGCTGACGGTGTCCCTGCTGCTTCAGATGGGGCAGATGGACAGTGAAAAGTGCGTGGAGCGGTGTCTGGAGCTCTGCATAACTTCAGATGTGGATGAATGTTCGCTGGTTTCACTCTACGCCCAATTGGCGGTTACAAATGAACAGTCCGCTAGCAAGATATTTAGTGAATGCCTGAATCGGCTGACCAGCACACTGGATTCATTTTTGGAGGATCCTTTGCGAACCGCCAAGGACAGAGGTCATCTTTTCGGCTATCTTAGCGGTTTGGATGAAGTGGTTAAGGCAGTAGTTCCGGTGGAATCGCCATTAGAGGACTTGTTGCCGCTGCTAGAGCGTATTCTAAGCGGCATCCTGAAATTCCTTAATTTAGCCAACGCCCGACGACAGGATAAGGCCGCAACGGCAGCTAGTTTCCAGGACATGGACGAAAGCCTACAGCTGCTGGTCAGCGAGAGCTCATTTAAGTCCGTAGACGAGGAGGAGGCCTGCCGGAAGTACTTGCTAATGAGTTTCTGGCTGACACTGAAGGTGGGTAAAAAAAAGTTTTATCATAAAGCAACTTAACTATCGTGAAATCTTTTGTAGGGCTGTTGCGATCTGGCCACCAGTATTGGGTGTTCTCTACTACAAACCACTGTCCACACGGTGAACTCTGAGGCGCTGCGCCGATGCCTGGACATCAATGTGTCCGTTTTGACGCTTTGCCGGCATAAAGGAGCAATCGAGGCGGCTGGTTTGAGCATTGGCAGACTCACCCGTGCGATAACCAGCGGTTTGGAGAGCAACGATGCAGGTTTCCAGATGCTGCACGACTGCCTGGAACGAGAGCTGCTGACTGAGAGCCGCCAAGTGAGCACCACACGACGTGGTGCCGGCTTTGCCATAATGTTTCTACACGTGCTCAAGAACGACAATCCACGGCAGCGGCTGCTCCTGCATCGAGCTGTGCAGACAATCCTTCAGAGGCTTAATGGAGATCGTTCCGGGGAAAATGTTTCCCTCGATAGTAATCACGACCGTTGGGAGGCTCTGGTGCTGCACTATCTGTGCGTTCTGGTGCGCGACACAGAACTGAGGCCAGCCATGAGCAAATACTACAACGAGATTCTATTGGTGGCCATGGAGCACATCGACAATCCAGAGTGGACCATCTCGAATGCGGCACTGCAACTGTTTGGCGCCAATCTGGGAAAGCTTGTGGGCCAGCGCCAAGCCACGGAGTTCGAGACACGTCCCGCTTGGGAACCCAGTGAACTGGACTACGACGAGTTGGGCTGCCTGCTGCCCAAGGCCTGCGAGCACATGTTGGAATGCTGCGACCGCCAGGAGGTGACCTCGTCTATTATACTCTTTCTGGCCTTTCTCTCCAAGGTGGAACACTTGCGAACTTCGGGTGGCAAGGAGCCAAATCCCCTGCTACTCCGTTTTCGCCGATTGAGCTGGCGTTTGTTGCGGCACAAGTGCGATCAGGTGCGTCAACTGGCGGCCACCTGTTTTGTGCGTTCACACGAGTTTCGCTGCGATCTGCCAGCGGCGCTGCTGGTCAGCGCCAAATTGGCGGCAAATCTCGAGGAGGAGAACTTCTACGAGGGACTGATCTACACCTTGACATCCGGGGTGCTGAAACTCCAACACGAAGCGCGACATGTGTGGAGCGCGGGCCGTTTGGAGAGGTTCTTCGAGGAGCTTCTAACATCACTAGAAATCACGGAGCGAGTGCGCCGCTTCAAGCCGTACACACTGAACGTGTTGTTGGAACTGCTAAAACTGTTGGGCAGCGCGGATAAAGCGGCTCTGGTCGAGTCCCTCGTCTAACATTAGCTAATTTAGTTTTATCTAATCTAACATTAAGCCAAAAAGTAATATTTCCTTGTCAACGCTTTTTACAACTATTCAAATGACGCATTTAATGTTTGTACGCAGTAAACGAACCGAAAGTATCTACCAAACGGGGATTTCTAAAATAACGAATGAAGTGAGGGATGAACTATCCGCGAGATCAACTAAAACCGTCGCCGGTTTCCTGCTCCATGGCCTGCAGCTGCTGCTTTTCCAAAGCCTCCTGCGCCATCTGCTGCATGGTGCGACTGAGGATGCTGCGTAGAATGTGCGGCTTGCAGTGCTCCTCCAGCCAGGGGATGATCCCGGTGGTTAGCTGCTTAAAGTTGTCCATGGGTATGTGCTTAAATGTCTCGAACATTTCCTCCATGATGGCTTGAAACTGTGGAGGGAAGTTAAGTACGAGTGGGGATATGGAGCCTGTGGTATGCCCCTACTAACCACTTGGAACTTGGCCTCATCGGTGAGGCGTGCCTCCTCCGGACCCGGATTCGCCTGCTGATGCTGCAGCATGTTCTCGTAGCCGTTCTTGATGATCCGCAGGGCAGTAACCTCCTTTTGGAGCGCCGATCCCTCGTCCTCCTGCTTGAGCTTCTGCTGGTTGAGGTAGCCAATGTACTCGATTGACTTCTGCAGGATCAGCGCCTTGCTGAGCTTGTAGCCGGAGGAGTCATTGGGCTGGCAGCGCGGCACCAGCTCCTGCAGGCTGTCGTATCCCTTCTTGATGGCGTCACGCCGCTTCTGCTCCGCCTGGGTGTGCGCCTCCCTGCGGCGCTCCTTGTAGCTCAGCGTGGAATTGGCCGCCGTCGAGTGGCGGGCATCGCCGCTATCGTCGTCGTCGTCTGCGGAAAATGAGACACAAGCAGACCCGAGACAATGTAATAAAACGCTGCTGATAGCGAGTAATTCAATGCCAACGCTTTATCAGCTGCCCCTGCTCCACCCACCACTCCTGGTCAGCGTGACATCTCGTCCAGCATTTGAGTACCTGAATTGTGGGCCGAGGAGTTCGGCGTGTGAGTGCTGCCCGCACTGCTGCATCGCGAGTAGTGCTTGCTGCTGAGATCCTGGTCGTGCTCCATGCTAAATACGTCCTCTTTGACTCCCGACGAACTGTTATTATCGCTCATTGTCAACTGCGACGTTGTGGAATTCCCAAAACAAAAACACCAGCGAAAGGGTGACCGTTCTGCGCTACTGCAATAAGCTTTCTGCCTTCTGCACTTTGGTCACTCTTAAAATAAACTGCGATAGTTTTTATTAATCTTTTTAAAATTTTATGTACACTTAACTTATAACCAGTTATGTATGCTAAAATTATAATACATCACTTTAAAAACTGATACATTGATTTGTTTGATTCGACGGCAAAAGGTTCATTTAATATTATAACTAACAGGTTTTAATATTATTATATGTTTTTTGTAGCTTACAAATGTATACAAAAAAAGGTGCATTTTAAGTTTATCATATTTTATACAAATCATAATTAATTTAAAAGTTAAATTGCACAGTTCCGAAAAGCTCAGACTTCAAGCTCTTGTTGCAGAGTGTTAGAGATGGCAAAATTGGAAGACAACCGATAGTAATATCGATATTATTGCCAGCTCTACCGGCCCCGGGATGACTTTTGCGTTTTTTTCTTGTTGAACTTTGCCGTCGTGTCGTTTTCTTTGGGGGATATTGCTTGAAAGAAGCTGTTTTTTGGGCTATAATTTGTGATCGGAGGACGCACAAGGAAGCAATCATGGGCCTGCTGTACGCGCTGCGTGTTCGGATCATGAACTTCATGATTTTCTTCCTCATCATCATCCTAATACCCGGCCTGCCGCCGCGCACCACCTTTCCCTTCAAGGAATATGTGTAAGTGCTCCGTCCAATTGACGTAATTCGCGGCCTAATCCTTGGAGATATCTTTGGCCCACACAGTGTGACCCCGCCCAAGGACCTGAAGGGCGCCCTGGAGCCGAACTTTCACCTGGACGGCGCCGAGCGACTGCTGGAGGGGGCGGGTCTACGGCCCCGAGTGCCTTATAGCCCGCAACAACGAGATCTACACCGGCATCCATGGCGGTGAGGTCATCAAGCTAACCTCCAACCATGTCACGCATGTCACCAAGATCGGCCAGCCCTGCGGTGGGTAATTGAGTGCTCAGCAAGGAGTAGTTTACAATGATAGTTCCCTTTGCAGAGGACATTTACGAGGAGTCCAGGTGCGGCCGTCCTCTGGGACTGGCCTTTGATACGCAGGGCAACAACCTCATCATCGCCGACGCCTACTACGGCATTTGGCAGGTGGACCTGGGGTCCAACAAGAAGACCCTGCTGGTTTCCCCTGCCCAGGAGCTTGCCGGCAAGACCATCAACCGTCCTGCTAAGATTTTCAATGGCCTGACGGTCGGCAAACAGGGTGACATCTACTGGACGGACTCCTCGTCGGATTTCACTATCGAAGACCTCGTCTTCGCCAGCTTTGCAAACCCCTCGGGCCGGTGAGTTCATCGCGAATTATAGAGTTCACTCATTGTCTAATAGGATCGGCTTCAGAGGTCGTAGCTAACGTAGACATTTTTGTAGGTCAAGCCGGTATAATTTTAAAGTCAGTATAAAAATGCTTGATAAATAAGATTGACGGATTATATTTAGTTAGTTCCTTAGTATTTCTATATAACTTTCGGTAAACTTTGCTTTGGTTATAACATCTTGTGATTAAGGAACACAATAATCTATAAAGATTAAGCTTTAACCACTTAGTTTACTACAAGATACATTAATTCGATTCTTTCCTGAGTCAGGTTCTCTTGTCTATTACCATATTCAAAATTTGAACTTGAGCAGTCTAGACGTGGTTCCAGTTACAGAAGTTCGACTGTAAGACGAACCCAAACCGGTTTCGAGATCGGGTCTAATGGTCACTAACGGTCTTCGCTTTTTTCTCCCTTCCAGTCTTTTCAAATACGACCGTTCGAAGAATGTGAGCGAGGTGCTGCTGGACGAACTGGTCTTCGCCAACGGCTTGGCGCTCAGCCCCAACGAGGACTTCATCGTGGTGGCCGAGACGGGTGCACTGCGTCTGACCAAGTACCATCTTAAGGGAGCGAAGGCCGGCCAGAGCGAGGTGTTCGTTGATGGACTGCCCGGTTTGCCAGACAACCTGACGCCCGACGCCGAGGGCCTCTGGGTGCCATTGGTCGTGAGCTCGGACAGTGAGCATCCTAATGGCTTCACCCTGTTCACCCGCTTCCCCAGCGTGCGTCTGTTCCTGGCCCGCATGCTGGCCCTGTTCGAGCTGCCCTTCCGCTACCTGAATAGCGTTTACCCGAACAAGTTCTCGCAGCGATTCGTCCACTTCGTGGGACACATGGAGAGCATCAGTGTGCTGGCACCCAAGCGCACTACTGTGGTGCGCGTGGACTGGAACGGCAACATTGTGGGCTCCCTGCATGGATTTGACAAGTCGGCCAAGACGGTTTCGCACGTGCTGGAGTTCCAGGACTACCTGTTCCTGGGATCGCCCACCAATCAGTACTTGGCGCGTGTGAAGTCGCCAAAGACCAAGCAGCCCACGCTCAAGGTGCGCAATGTGCGCGTCGAAGGCGACGGTCTGGAGGCGTCTATTGGTGTGCCGCCCAGCACAACAACGCCCAAGCCGCAGCCCAAGGCGGTGCCCAGCACAACCACGCCAAAACCCACTACAAGTACGACAACAACCACGCCAAAACCCACAACAACGACGACCACCAAGAAGCCAACGACCACCACCACCACCACTACTACTACAACCACTACACCCAAGCCAACCACCACGAAGCCGCCGACAACAAAGCCACCTACTACTACGACAACAACCACGACAACTCCCAAGCCAGCTACGACTACAACTCCCAAGCCGGCTAAACCGACACCCAAGCGTACAGTGCCTGAGAAACCAGCGCCCGTGGAGGAGGAGATTCCAGCGGACACCAAGCCACCCAAGAAGGAGAAGCTCAAGGTCATCAACAAGCAGGGCGTCAATGTTGAGCTCTAGGATCGCAACATCTGTCGCCTACTGAGTTTATCGGGGATGTTCCCAGACGCGAGATTAGTTTGTTCACGTAGTCAAAGCCGATTCTGTTTATTATCTTTTCCCTCCAACCTCTCAACTATTTTTTGGGAATATCCAGCCAGGTCTCTTTTATTTATCATGTCCCAAACTCAGGCTAAAGGGCCAGTTAATTTTAGTCAAAATGTAGCTAAACACTGATTTGCCGGGATGCCTAGCTCAGATGATCCTCGAAGGGCAGCGCTTTATATGTGTCGGTTTTGCATATAATTCTGTTTTGCTTAAGCGCTCTATACATTCCATTCTCTTTCCCAACCGAAAGTGCATTCCATCTAGTTAAGTTTAAAGTAAACAATGCCCCTAAATTGTTGAAAGCGAGCAACTTTTGATTTTGTACTGATATTTTCTTATTTTCACTAAAAATAAAGGTATTTTGTAAACATAGACCTAATCGTAATGAGGTTGGTTGTCTTAGAGTAGCGTTAAATTAAGATTAGCTGATAGCTATCACTTGGTGGACACAGATTGGCTGATCTTGGGTCGGCTTGGCGGCTCCTTGGGATCCGTCCAGGCCCAGTCGGCATAGTGGACGCAGCGGCCCAGCTCCTCGGAGTACAGCTGCGACTGTGGACAGCGCTGGAGACGAGCCCGCGTGCCCTGCTTGTCGCACACCCAGTAAGCCGTGGGATCCCAGAAGTTCCGGAACATGCGGTTCATCTCCTCCAGACCCTGGCAGCCGGGTTCGCCATTGTGCTCGTGCGACTGGCGCTTCTGGATGGGCAGATGGGCTGATGCCGTGGCCATTTCTTCTCTGCGTCTTTGGAGTTCTGAAAACGAAACCGGAGGTAAGTGTTTGTCCACGATAGCTGAGCGTGATCAGCGCATAAATTTACTATAATTCTTGGCAAATGTCTTGCCCCAGATATTTCATTGAATTGAATTTCCCTTTTCACTTACCTTGTGCTATTTCTTGGTTTCTTTTTTTTTAACGGCTAGCAGCCTGTTGCTTGCTGTCGCTGAGTTATTTCACTTCTGATTTGTCATACCGAATCATTTCCCGCTTAAATACCATTCCGCCGAACGACGCCGTCGACGTCGACGTCCGCTGCTTCCTGATAGCGTTAGAAATGTCTGGTTCGAGGGCCGATGTCGGGCAACGAGCAGTTTTTATCTAAGTATAAAACCCACAAATTTGCACTGTGCGCGGAAAACTGAATCGCCTTCATCTTGAGGCGCCCCACGGGTGTGTGGGTGTGGGGGGTGTTGGTTGGTGTTTCGCTGGCTGGCCGAGTGTCACGTGTAGCCTTCGTGGTCTGGGAAATACTCCCGGCGAGAGTTATACACACCAACGCAGACGGCCATATATTTCGCACAAAAAACGAGCGCAAACATTTGGAGAAAAAATTAGGTAACAAGCTCTCAGGCTGAAACCTCTTATGCACTGAAAAAAATAGTCAAATAATAGTTTTGTATCGGGAAACTTATTCCTTTATAAAGGAATGATCCATCAATTATCAATCAATTTTTAGGTTCTAAACAATTGTTTTTATATCGCTACAAAATACAATATATTCAAGTATTTTGTATTTAACACATCGTTTTCAAAATTTGTGCCACAGTTTTTTGTAATCGACGAACATTTTAAATTGTTTTTTTATTTTATATATGAATATCAATTTTTTTAAAACTGTTTTGAAGGGCTCATTGCATTGTGCATCAAGCTAAATTTAAATTTTTTAGATTTCGTTAAGTTTAAAAATTTTTTAGTATTATTAACTGTTTAAAAGAAAAGAAATTAATTTAATTTACTCTATTTGCTTCTAAACTGCTTATTATATTAATTAAATTTGTTAAAAATACGTAAATATTTAATTGTTTCAATATTTTTTCTCTCTGTCTAGAGCAACATTTTTTTTGCCAATAGTTTCTTTTTTTAGTATTCCAAGGGCCTAAGGTCAGAAACCCGCTATAGTCTGTCGAGTAATGACGCCAGAGGAAAATGTCAACAAATGCATATAGCTTGCACACACTTGAATCAGTGTCAATAAACCCCTGGAATCTAGCAATTGGGGGTTTAATGCGTAATTCGCTTCTAGTATCAGCTAGATCACGCATCCGCCGTGTGGCCCCGATGACGAGCCCCTCTATTTTATACCCTAGTCAGTAACTTTCCCCTCAGTGGGAGGCACACGTTCGTGTGTCACCTCTCTGCGAAATATGAAGGCATATGCCAACCACACTTTATCACCTAACGAGCTAATCAGCTAAAACCTAGACGGTAAAAAAACTCGAGTTTCGTTGGTGTGTAAGACCAATAATTAATTGGCCGAACTCTATTCACGTGATCGCCCAAGGGTTGGTGAGTTTGACCGCCGTGAAATCGAGAAATAAACCGGAATTAGCGGTTCGGTAGTCTGGCGATTATGTGAGCACGTGAACAGCTGGTGGTCAAAGTCGTCGGGGCCTCCGGATCCTATGCTTTCATGTGGGTCTGGCGATCGAGGCGTGCTCGATGTGAGGTATTTCTATAAAATAATCACGATCGAGTTTGGGGGGTTCGCTAGATTGTCACTGAACTTCAGGTGAAGTGCTTCAAACATGAGTCTGAAATTTCATGAAATTACCGACGTGCTATCTCGTGCTATGTCTGAGCCGGCGAATATTTCATAATGTTATCGCGATACTAAGAAATTCGCAAAATGTTCCTTGTTTAGTCTTGTCAAAAATATAATTAGAACTTGAACAAGTTCTGGATTGAGTTCCAATATATACATATATGTATAATATATTTATTGATTATATTTATTTGGTTTTTATAATAATTTTCATAGAAATATATTTAATATAAACTGGTTGTAACCAGTTAAATGTGCTATTCGGTGAATCGAATTTTTCTCTTTTCTATAATGCTTGAAGAATTTCTCAAACAATTTTGACCATTTCGTGTCTGACTTACTTCACATGGCAACAGGCAAGCACTTTAGCACATGATTTCGGAAACATAAGATAAGCTATACTTTTTCCGTTTCGTCACCATTACGCCAGGAGCACGTGAGTTGCGCGAGCTGAAAGTTATAAATATCTACTAATTGATTAGTCATACATGGGTATATCGTGGAATCGGGGCTTTCTCGCCTCTTGGTGGAATGACGCCGATTTTTATGGGTGTATGTGTGGTGGGAATACAAAAGCGTATGTTGAAACAGATTTGTGATTGAATTGGTGACTATTCTTCGGGTTGAATATTAAATCATTTATGGCTGCAGTAAAAGTGCCACGCCCCCCAATATCCATCTCGAGGGGCGTTCGCGGGTCTTCAGGTTAAAGGTCCACACATAGGTATTTCCCCGCGATCTAAAAGGGGGCAAAGAGCGCCTTCAGTCAATAAGAAAATGCAGACAATGGAGTGGGCGAGTGTCACCCACCTGGTCTTGTACAAAGGACACTCGTAGACGCGCTGCAGCTCCTGCTTCTCCTGGACAATGGACTTGATGTAGATGACGGGCATGGCGCAAAGCATCTCCTTGGGACGCAGCGCCACAATGGAGTTCAGTTGGCAGTCCCAGCTGGCCCCGTCCATGTACAGGTCGTGGACAAAGGCGCCCTCCATGGGCGGCAGGCTGTACGAAAGGGAGAGTTCAAAGGTCAGAGGGTCGGCGGGAAAACAAACAACGGAGGCAAGCAAAAAGCTATCGTGAATCGCAAAGTAATTGGTTTTAAAATATAAATTTTATTCAAAAATATTTTATAAAGAGACCAAGCTAATTTGTAACGAAATTCGATATAAAGAAATATTTTGACCAGGACTTACGTGACGTCATCCTTTTGTTTCTTGGTGACGTCGCAGCTGATCAGCATCCGATCCAGCGGAAGGTCGTGTTTCCGGGCGCTCTCCTGCATAATGGCGGTGAGGAAGCTCTGCGGATTGAAGAGTCCGCCCAGCCAGATGGCGCAGGGCAGCTTGAAGTCGTTCAGCCAGCCGGCCAGCTCCTTGATGCGGTGCAGCAGGTCGGCGAACCAGGACTGCAGGCCCAGCATGCTGGGATAGGCCAGTCGAGCCCAAGCAGCCGGCACATGATCATAGAAGATGGCATGATCCAGGCGCTCCATTTCCTGGGTAATGGTTAGTTCGCCCCTCAGTCCCAGCATCAGTTCCCGCAGCGATCGCTTGATCTCGCGGATCAGAGCGTTCATCCGCTCGCATTCTTGAAGGGCCACCACCACAAAAGGCGTCTTGCGCTCCACGCGATTCAGGAGAGCCTGCAGATTGAACTCGTCCTGCAGTTTGTCCAGGAAGTCGTCGATCATGATCTTCACCAGCTCCTCCCGCGGGGCTCCACAGTGGGAGCTTAGCTCCGATTCCCTCGGCTGCAGCTCGAAAATGGTGCGCAGCAATTGCTCGGAGGCGGTGGTCAGGAAACCAATCTCCGCATTCGGATGGAGACCATATAGCAGAGGGCTCTCCTCCGGCAGCATTTCCGTAATATACGAATGATAGCCCTCAAAGTCAAGATTCGGTGGAGCCGGGAAGGCAGGACACAGTTCGAAGTCCCCATCAATGAGGTCCTGCTGCAGCAGCTCCTCCAGATAGGTCTGGCACAGCCGGCGGTCCCAGTCATCCGTAATATGACCGCCATACATTATCTCACCGAAGAGATACCGCAGATCCTCCCAGGGAATCCGATTGCTGCCCTCCAAATAGTTGTGCAGCACATTTGCCGAGATGGTGAGGTCACCAATGTTAAACGGGTACACCTTGTTCCAGCCCTGCGGTCCAAACTTGCGCCTTTCGCCGGCCACCGCGTGGAAATAGCAGAGGGCGAATAGGATTGACTTGAACTCCGCCTCCTGGGTGCATGTTTCCAGTGCGTCCTGCGAGAAGTTGTCCCACGCCTTGTGCAGATTGGCCGCCATCCCGGACGGCGGTTCATTGACCACCTGTTGGGTATTATTTATTTGTACTTATAACAAGTTAATTCGGATTTGACTTGGGAATTTTTGACGAACATTAAAATAGACCTTCGGAATAGAATAAACAAATATCTGGCTATTGAATTCAAAATTGTATATTTAATATTCAAAGTAAATATTAAATCATATTATAAATATAATGCAAGTTAAATTGCATGATTTATTATTAAAATATTTTTATTGATGTGGAAAAAAATCCACTTTGATTTTAAAGTATTTTCTTTACGTTTAATAAGGTTTAAATTTAAATAAAAGATTTGCGGCTATTGTAAGTTTTATAGTTAAAAAAAAATATCTTGTCGGTCTCTGTTTGAAAGGAAATATTTTGTTTTATTATCATTTTCATGGATAAAACAATACATTTTCTGAAATCTTAAGAATGTAGTAAATTCGTTTGAGAGATTAAAAAATGCATTACACACCTTTAGCGAAGACTCCAGAATGCCTTGTGGAATCACGTGGTATTGGGGATC